TATATATATATAATATATATATATATATATATATATATTTAGTTAGTTAGTTAGTTAGTTACTATTAGCTGTAGCAGATCTCTAGGCACAGATACCATATGTGAGGTAATGCTAGATTAGTGAGTAATACAAAATTAATAATGTATTTCATGTATTTCATGTAGAATGCCCATTGTTATGTAGACCTTAGTTATGTGCTGAATGTGGATATTGAATTTTAAACTGGCTCACAGTGAATGATCACTATCATTTGTAGCTCTGCTTCCAAGCATCATGTTGAAATTTTGTCACTGTTAACCTTTTCATTGTCGGGATCTCCTAAATTAAAAGTGCTGACAGTGTCAGGATTTTTCAAGAAAAAATATTAATTTTTTTCTTCTGAAATGGTAGAATCATTTTCAAAAGGTAATGTCACCAGAAAACTTTAGGAATTATGCAGATGCAGAGTTGGAGGTCCAGAAAGAATTTAAGTCAATTTCATTGTTCAGTTTGACCAAATTTTTAGCTATTTCGATAGCATGCCTTCTGTTTTATTGACTGAGCAAAAGAAACCTCCCAATTCAACTGTCAAAACTTCCCTGTAAAGTACAGAGAAGTGGGCAAAAATGCCAGTTTTACACACAATTTAACAAATTCCAATTTAAAAGCAAAATCCAAAACAAACACTTGCATTCCAGCAACAAAAGTAACTTATCTTCTGTTCATTAATCATGTCCTTAGGCTTCTCCTTTATTACACTTGCTCTCCATTTTGAATCCATCACACACACACACACGCACACACGCATGCACACACGCGCACAGCCACACACACGCACACACGCACATACACGCACACACGCGCATGCACACACACACACACACACACACACACACACACACACACACACACACACACACACACACACACACACACACACACACACACACACACACACACACACACACAAAATAGAATTTTACCCTGTTTCTTGGATTAATAAAATATTCAATTCAATTCAATTCAATTCAAGTTTATTCTCTATAAGCCAGGAATAATTGATCATGACTTAGGGCATCCCAATACAGTGGAACCTCAATACTTGAACAGATCTCAAACAATTCAGTATTCGAATGCTTTGTTCGGTAAACAAATCGCTCGGTAGTCAACCCTTTGTGTGGCACTTGACCAAACAAACATGACCTGCCAGAACTTTGCTGTAAACTTTCATGTTTCTTCACATTTTTTGTTGTTTTTTTATATTATTTGTATAAATAAGTCACCATGGAGCCTAAGAGGGTTAGTGATAACAGCCAACCAAAATGAAAATTGGTTGGGAAAAATTCATACTGTACTCAAACAGATTGGCACTTGAACAACCTTCTGGAACCAATTAAGTTTGAGTGCCGAGGTTCCACTGTAACTGAAGCAGATCAAGTGAAAACCCATAAAACAGACTGAGGGGGTGTAAGAGAAGCTAAACCCTTCCTCAGGAAAATCATCAAAAATCGAATATTTCAGTTACGTTGAGCCCTATTTCACTCTACTTCCACTCTGGAAACATACTATTATCATCTCTACTTCAGAAGAATGTCTTCCATTCTATCAGTTAACCCTTTGAGGGTCGAGAGGCCCTCTTCCAAACTCGTTCTCAGGGTCGAAAAATTTTTGAAAAAAAAAAAATTTTTTTTCTTATGTAATGATAGATAATCTTTTTCCGATCATAATGACACCAAAAGTATGAAATTTGATGGAAAACCTAGGGAATTATGCTCTCACAAAGTAAGCGGTCTAAAAGTGGGTGATTTTGCCCACTTTCAGCCCTATTTTCGGCCAATTCAGCCCTATTTTCGGCCAATTCCAATGTTGCAGTTGACTAAAATCATAGCGATTTCCCTAGAACTCCATTTGTTCTATTGATTGAGTACAAGAATCCGCCCATTTACCTATTTTAATTACCCAATAAATTGGTCAGAAATTGCCAATTTGGGCAATTTCACAAATTTCAGAAGATGCCAATTTCGAAATAGGGTCCAGAATAAACAAGACAGACGTTCATGGCACTAAAATAACATTTTATCTGTTCATTAGTCATGTCTCTAGGCCCCTCTTACATTACTTTTGCTTTCCATTTTGAATTTTTATTCTCACAGAAAATAGAAGGTTTTCTGTTATGCATACTACTGCATCATTGTAAAAATGGTATAAATGATATCGGTGCACTTGTGAAAGAATATTAGATCACCAGTTGACATATATTGGACGCGTGGCTTGATTTGTTTACTCTTGAACATCGGCAAAAATCGATCATTTTCGCTACTTTGAGCTCAATTTCAAGGTACTTGTCATCATGAAAACAATCAAAATCATCTCTAATTCTGTAATATATCTTCCATTCTATCAAATGAGACCAAGAAAATGAGAATACAACCATAAATACCATACAAAAATAAACTAAAAAATCACTGTTTTAACCCTTAAACGGTCCAAACATATATATACGTTCACGCGTGTAGCGCCCCAAACGTACATATACGTTTTCTTTGTCATTCATTCAACATTGCCACAATAAGCCTGAGTCACCTAGACATGAGAGAATGGGTGTGCGCACTCACTGTGTGCCATATTAAAATAATTGGGGATGCCTGTGCACAATATGTTCTTTTTTTCCTTTTAAAAGGAAACATTTTTTTTTTTCCTCAAAAAATTTGGGGCGCTACGCGAGTGAACGTATATATACGTTTGAACCGTTTAAGGGTTAAACCACAAACACAGTAAGTTTTTTTTTTCTCATTATGCACAGCATGCTTCAGGATTTTTTTAATACTGTGCACACTGACCACACACACCCATTCTTTCATATGTAGGCCTGCCAGCTTTCTTCCACCAGATTTGAAGGTGCTAGAATTTAGGCGTACAGGTACATGACTGACCCGGGCTGCAATCCGTACTTGTACGTGACCAACCCTCAGAGGGTTAATAGCAAGAAATAGCCAGTAAAGCCATAAAAATCATCCCTGAATACACCTCTAAGTCATTATTTTAAACCAATCACTGTATGAAGCACACTCACCGCACAGACCCATTCTCTCGTGTCTAGGCCAAAATTTATCGCTCACTTCGTATTTGAGGGCACATTGCTCATAGCATAAATCTATGTGAATGACACTGCCATCAGTAATGTAGATCTATTCGAGAGAGTGAAAGGGTTAAAGGTCGGTGTATTGGTGGCTATCTAAGTAGATATCATGAGCTCATCATTAACAGTGCAATAGAGTGAAACATTCTGAATGGGAGGTGACAAATGTTGCACCTACTGTAAAAAAGAACAGGCTTTAGTTCCTGAGAAACATTAGGGAAGTCATTAATGTAGATTAGGAAGAGCATAGGACCTCTGTGCACTTAAAATTTTACATATACATAGACTAGACACAACAAAAAATGCAATAAAAATAATTTCCAGTACATGTTAGAAATCAAATAATGATTACAAATTTATATTAATATTAATACACTAATTTGTCATACTAATCTATTTAACCCTTTGGGGGTTTCGGCTGCACTAGTACGGCTTACGCCCCAGGGTTTTTGACGTATTAGTACGCCTAAATTCTAGCGCCCTCAAATCTAGTGAGAGAAAGCTGGTAGGCCTACATATGAAAGAATGGGTCTATGTGGTCAATGTGTGCAGTATAAAAAAATCCTGCAGCACAGTGCGTAATGAGAAAAAAAAATGGACCATGTTTTTGGATTAAAACAGCGACTTTGCACTGTATTTTCGTATGGTGTTTATTGTTGTATTCTAGTTTTCTTGGTCTCATTTTATAGAATGGAAGACATACTACAGAAATTGAGATGATTTTGACTGGTTTTACAATGAAAAGTACCTTGAAATTGAGCTCAAAGTAGCAGAAATGTTCGATTTTACCAAGGTTCAAAAGTAAGCAAATCATGCCAAGCGTCCAGTACACATCAACTGGTGAGTCTAATATTCTTTCATAAGTGCGCTGATATTATTTATACCATTTCTACACTAGTGCAGTAGTCTGCATAACATTAAATCTTCTATTTTTTGTAAGAATAAAAATTCAAAGTGGAAAGCCAAAGAAATATAAGAGGATGTGACTAACGAACAGAGAACTTGTTATTTTAGTGCGAGGAATATCTTTCTTGTTTATTCTGGATCCTATTCGGAAATTGGCATCTTTTGAAATTTGTGTGAAATTGGCAAAATTGCTAAATTCTGACCACTTTATTGGATAGTTGAAATCAGTAAATGGGTGGTTTCTTGTACTCATTTGATAGAAAAAATGGAGTTCTAGCGAAATAGTTATGATTTTTGTCACTTTGCAAGAGCATAATTCCGTAAGTTTTCCATCAAATTTCATACTTTTGGTGTCATTATGATCGGGAAAAGGTTCTCTATCTTTTCATAAGAACATTTTTTGAAATTTTGGCGACTCTGAGAACCAGTCTCTGAGAGGGCCTGGTGACCCCAAAGGGTTAAATTGTGAAGGACTCGTATAAATCATTTCAAAAGTCGTTTTTTCTACCTGTCTCAATTGCCCCATGTTTTTCTCAGTTACCCCACTTGATGGTACTTTTCTAAGAAATTGGGTGATAGTTACTGTACTGTACTAACATATTGCACATTGTGCAGATATACTATAGGACAAAACAGGATAATGATGGGCTATAAAAACATGGATTAATCAAACATATTAATGTTATAAAGTATTTCTTGACAGTGTGTTGTCTCATCTAAAGAAAATTATATATTTTTATAATCTAAGAGTCCCTGCAAGTACTCTGCTATAGAACATGAAGTTGGCATGCCTTTCATTGGTGACTGCTCAGTCAGATTATAACTCATAGGCAGTGGCAGTTCTCAGTTAAAGTGCCATAAATAACACTTAAATAAAACAAAACAAAAACAATCCACTTCTTTTATAAAATGGTATACCGTACAGTATACAATTAGGGTAATTGACAACATTTAAAACTTAATTTATAATTACTAGACAATGAGAGATATATAGTACATGAGAATAAGGATGAAGCTAGGTACCTGAATTGATACAAAGAAATAAGGCCTTTCTAGTAATAAAGGAGAATTGAAGGAAGGATGGAACAAGAAGAGGATTTGTTCAACACAATGAATTGTGAGGATCACATTGAGGTAAGGAGGTGTTCTTTAATGTTAGCTTTTAAATGGTTGGCAAAGAGAGAGAAACTGGAATCTTCATGCAAAAAGTTAAAGATTTTAGGTTCTTTTGTGCACACTGAATTTTTATACAGGTTAAACTGGACATCGAGAATATCGTGGAGGTTTTTGCATCTGGTATTATGCCTACAAGTTCTGTTGCAGCTATCAAGAAAGAGTTTCAGAGCAGGATTAATATTAGAAATGATTGTCCTGTATATGTGGTATGCACAGTAGTATGAGTGAATTTTATGCATATTAAGCAAGTTTAGACTTTTGAAGAGTAGGAGTGCATGCTGTCTGGTACTAGACTAGGTGATCATTCTTACAGCTTCTCTTTGTTGTGTTGTTATTAGCTTTAGGTGATTTGCTTTAGTGGATTCCCAGGCACAAATAGCACAGGCAAGGTAGGGATAGATTAGAGACTAGTGTAATGTAAGTAGTGCTGCTTGAGTTACATATCTTAGAGGATACCAACTGATATGGATACTAATTATTTATTGTGTAGAGCATTTGAACTGGAAGTACCAGTAAATTGTGGTAGTGTTTAGTAATTGTACCTTAATAACTCATTGATACTTGTGCTCAGGTCATGCTATATACCACCACCCCCCTGGTAAGGATGCAAGTACAGCATTTAATTCATAATCGTGTGCCTGAATGGTAGTTTTGTGGACGAGTGTAAGATAGGTGATCCATACAGCTGGTCCATAAAGAATAAAAAGGCATAATACTGTGACTAGAACAATATACAGCTAACTTGCATGTAGGAGACACACTTATGATTTCATTTTGGTCTGACTTAACCATTAACCTGTAAACGGTCCAAACGTATATATACGTTTTTACCGCTAGTGCCCCAAACGTATATATACGTTTTATTTGTCATACATTCAACATTGCCATGATAAGCCTGAGTCACCTAAACATGAAAGAATGGGTGTGTGCACTCACTGTGTGCCATATTAAAATAATTGGGGATGCCTGGGTACCATATGCTCTTTTTTCCTATTAAAAAAAAAAAGATTTCTCAAAGTTGGGGCACTACGGTAGAGAACGTATATACATGTATATACGTTTGGACCGTTTACGGGTTAACTAGAGTGACTAGTTAATGGCCCTAGTTGGACTGAAACATTGTCAAAAGTTTCAGTTTCCTAAGTATGTGTTTACTGGTGATTGTGCACTTTTTATAGTTGGTGATTTGTATGCTTTTGTAGGCTAGTGATCTAGACTCTTATTTAAGGTCGTGTTCATTTCCTTTGTTTATTTTTTTTTTTTTATTCTGTACTTGTTTTGGTTTGGTGATCTGTACTGTTGTGTACAGCTGGTGATCCATGCATGTGTGAGGCTGGTGATCCATCCATGTGAGACTGATGATTCATACACTTGAATAAAACTGGTGAACCATGGATGTGTGGAAGGCCAGTAATCCATGTACCTGTGATACTACATGTTTTACCGTACTCTTCTGTGCAGCATTATGCTCTTTCCATGTTTACAAGGTAAGAGCACTTGGCTCAGAACAGGTTCAATTCCCAGGTTAGTTAAGATGCATAGACAAGTCTCCTAACACCTGCTGTCACTGTTCATCTAACAGAAAATACAGTAGGTTCTTAGGTGTTAGTCAGTTGTTGTGGGTCACATCTTATGGGGTGGTAGTATACCATAGAGTTTTAAAATAAGCTGAAGTTGGCTAATAGCTCATAGCCTTTTAAATTTAACTGTGTGAAAGCCTGATATGATTTAGTTTTGTTGTCATCTACAATTTTTTATTTATTTGAAGATGTGAAAATTTATATATATTTTTTTTTTATTTTCAGTGCCAAATGGGCCCAAAGATCAGGTAACTTGAATGACATGCTCTGAAGTGACTCCCATTCTTATTGGTAATGTATATGTTGTTTCATTGTTGAATATTGTAGTTTATCTTTACAGTATCTTTAATCATCTATAGTTGAGCTTTTCTTTCAGTTTAATTAAATACAGTGGACCCTCGACCAACGCTATTAATCAGTTCCTGAGAGCTCATTGTTAATCGAAATTATCATTAGTCGAGTTAATTTTCCCTATAAGAAATAATGGAAATCAAATTAATCCGTTCCTGACACCCCAAAATATTGAAAAAAAGAAATTTTACCACATGAAATATTAATTTTAATACACACAAACTGAAGAAGACATGCACAGTTACATGACACTTACCTTTATTGAAGATCTAGTGATGATTGATGGGATGGGAGGAGGGGAGAGTGTTGATGGTCTTAGTGTTTAGAAGGGGAATCCCCTTCCATTAGGACTTGAGGTGGCAAGTCCTTTTCCGGGGTTACTTCCCTTCTTCTTTTAATGCCACTAGGACCAGTTTGAGAGTCACTGGACCTCTGTCGCACAACATATCTGTCCATAGAGACCTGTACCTCCCGTTCCTTTATTCCTTTATGACATTTCTAAAGTGCTTCACAACATTGTCAGTGTAATAGTCACCAGCACGGCTTGCAGTAGCTGTGTCAGGGTGATTTTCATCAAAAAAGGTTTGCACTTTAAGCCACATTGCACACATTTCCTTAATCTTAGAAGTAGGCAACTTCTTCAATTTCTCTATCCCCTCCTCCGAAGCATTTTCCTCAGGTGTGGCCTCTTGCTGTTGAAGATGATCTTGCAGCTCATCAGTGGTTAGTTCTTCATTGTCCTCCTCCACCAACTCTTCCACATCCTCCCCACTAACCTACAACCCCAAAGACTTCCCCAATGCCACAATGGAGTCCTCAACTGGCATAGGATTCCCAGGGTTAGCCTCAAACCCTTCAAAATCCCTTTTGTCTATACATTCTGGCCACAGTTTTTTCCAAGCAGAGTTCAAAGTCCTCTTAGTCACTTCCTCCCAAGCCTTACCTATAATGTTTACACAATTGAGGATGCTAAAGTGATCTCTCCAAAACTCTCTTAGAGTCAATTGAGTTTCTGAGGTCACTACAAAGCACCTTTCAAACATAGCTTTTGTGTACAGTTTCTTGAAGTTTGCAACAACCTGCTGCTCCATGGGCTGCAGGAGAGGAGTGGTATTAGGAGGCAAAAACTTCACCTTAATGAAGCTCATGTCCCTAGAAAGTAGCTCTGCCAAGTCTGAAGGGTGACCAGGAGCATTGTCTTATACCAGGAGGCACTTAAGGTCTAATTTCTTTTCAATTAGGTAATTTTTCACAGTGGGGGCAAATGCATGGTGTAACCAGTCATAGAAAAAGTCCCTAGTGACCCATGCCTTACTGTTTGCCCTCCACAGCACACACAAATTAGCCTTGAGGACATTGTTTTTCCTGAACACTCTGGGAGTTTCAGAGTGATACACCAATAAAGGCTTCACTTTGCAATCACCACTAGCGTTAGCACAGAATAAAAGAGTAAGCCTGTCTTTCATAGGCTTATGTCCTGGGAGTGCCTTTTCCTCCTGAGTAATGTAGGTCCTGCTTGGCAATTTCTTCCAAAACAGGCCTGTTTCGTCACAATTAAACACTTGTTCAGGTTTCAGTCCTTCACTGTCTGTGTACTCCTTGAATTCCTGCACATATTTTTCAGCCGCTTTGTGGTCCGAACTGGCAGCCTCACCATGCCTTATCACACTATGAATGCCACTTCGATTCTTAAATCTCTCAAACCAACCTTTACTGGCCTTAAATTCACTCACATCACCACTAGTTGCTGGCATTTTTTCAATTAAATCGTCATGCAACTTCCTAGCCTTTTCACACATGATTGCTTGAGAGATGCTATCTCCTGCTATCTGTTTTTCGTTTATCCACACCAATAACAGTCTCTCAACATCTTCGAGTACTTGCGATCTCAGTTTCGAAAACATAGTTGCACCTTTGGCAAGAACAGCTTCTTTGATTGCCGTTTTCTTGCCTACAATAGTAGCGATGGTTGATTGGGGTTTTGTATACAACCTGGCCAACTCGGAGACACACACTCCACTTTCATACTTAGCAGTGATCTCTTTCTTCATATCCATAGTAATTCTCACCCTTTTTGCTGTAGGGTTGGCACTAGAAGCTTTCTTGGGGCCCATGGTGACTTATTTTGCAGGTGCAATCACTACAAACTCTGTGATAATATGAAATGTTCCGATTGTATGTTTGGATGGGACCGTGGTGGCTGGCTGGCTTGTAAACACTGGCACCCACGGGACAAGTGAGGCACGCTCAGGCCAAAGTGGACGCGTCTCGAATGGAATGAATAGTGTTGGTCGGGTTTTTTAGCGCTAGTCGAGGCAAAAATTTTGAGTTAAAATGTATCGCTAGTCGGATTTAACGTTAGACGATGCCAACGTTGGTCGAGGGTCCACTGTACTCTTATTAAATTAATCTTAATTGTGATGTAAAAGGTTGTTTTCACCTTTAAAGTTTGATACAATAAAATGATAGGTTTTCCAGCTCAGCTGATGCTCTGTTATGTAAGATTCTTTCACCCCAATAATTCACTCAGCCAATACATTTCATTCAGTGATAGACAGCCTAACTTTGGCGCAGAATTACTCATCATTCCAGAGCTACACGAGTCCCATGACTTCATCGATGGCCGCGGCTGCCGCTGCTTCTGATCCATATATGTCATCTTACTACATGACCTCTACCCCATATCAGGTGGGATTTTATTTGATTTGATATAATTCATATCCTTTATACATTGTACCTGCCTTAATTAAAGAAGAGTAGTACTGTATTGCATACATACAATTTTTTTAGGTGATATACTGTGCCAGGTACAGTATTCTTTTACAGATGGTTTTCTATGTATTAGTCTAGAATTTCTTTCAGATAATTGCACTTGGAGGATATTTTTGCAGTGGCCAGTGATCTATGTTAAAACTAAATTGCTTGTGGTAGGTTAGGGTCAGTACCAGGTATAGCAGTCTTCTGGCCTTCCTTCTGGAGTACAGGAGCACCACTCTGGCTCATATTCCAACTTTTGATATTTTTGTTATTAATTTTCGTAAACTGAGTGCCAGAATAAATGTTAGAATTATTGTAGTTAGTTTTCTGGCTTGTTACTGGAGTATGATACTGCAAAAGTTAGAAATTAATATTATATAACAATGCACGTTAAATTTTGATGGTGTGTGAATGCATAGCCTTCAATTGGCAGTTTAATTAGGGGGTGTGGTTTTTTTGTGTACCTGTTTCCCTGTTTATTAAAATGTCCAGGTTGTAAATAAATTGTTGAAAATGTTACCAGATTCATTCTCAGCATGTACTACTAAAAAAATTGTTGGAATTTGCCCCCTCTAAGGTGTGGTGAAAAGCAAATGGTTAATCATCCTTGTGTATCTTAAAGATTATTTGATTTTTAACATATACACTAGAGCATATGATTACCATTTTCATTATACAGTTTGTCATATGGGTTTTAAAGCTTTTAGTGCTTTTAGAATAGTCATAATGGATCCAGTTCCACCCATCTACCACTTATTTGTGAATAAGAAGTTTGAGTGTCTTCTGCACCATTTTTTCTTTTATTTTCTATTTTATTTTTTCAACTCACTGGCCATCTCCCATCATGGTAGGGTAGCCCAATAAAGAAGAAACACTTTCACCATCATTCATTCCATCACCATCTTTTCAAACATGCGCCGACATCATAGCTCAGAAGCCCCTCTATCTTGCAGCATCTCTACCCCTCCTTGCAAGTGCAGGTGCTGTACTTCCCACCTTTAGGACTCAGTCCAGTTAACCAGTTTCCCTGAATGCCTTCATAAATGTTTTCTTGTTCACACTCCAGTAGCACATCAGGTTATACAGAACCACTTGCCTCCACTCAATCCTATCTTACCATGCTCACACACATACCTGCTGGATGTCCAAGCCTCTTGCAAATAAAACCTCTTTTATTCCCTCCATCCTTTCCTAGGATGACCTGTACCCCTCCTTCCCTCCACTACACTACAGATATATACACTTTGCTCAATCCTCTCTATGTGCCTAAACCACCTCAGTAACCCTTTGATAAAACATTTAGTAACCCCCACACCTGCTCTTAATCTCCAAACTACGAATTCCCTACATATTGTTTCTCATCACACAATGCCCTCAGACACAACATCTCCACTGCCTCCAGACTCCTCCTCACTGCAACATTTAAAACCTACGCTTAACACCCATATAAGAGTGTTGGTACCATTATATTCTGATACATTCCTCTTTTTGCCCTCATTGCCACAGATTCCTCACTGCACCACCCACCTTTGTCCCCCTCATCAGTTCTATGGTTTACCTTTGTTTTCATAGACCTGTCTGTCAACAAGTCCACTCCCTGATATCTGAACTCATTCACTGCCTTCATACTCCCTTCTTCCAATCTGATATCCAATTTTTCATTACCTAATTTTTTTGTTACTCTTTCCTATGTTCACTTTTAATTTTCTTTTACATACCCTCCCAAATTTGTCCAACAACCTCTTAAGAATCTCCAAAAAGCACTGTCATCAGCAGAATTAACAATGAGTGCCAGTTTTGTTAGGTAAAAGGACATAATTGCAACTACTCTGACATTTTATTGTGGCAACATTTTGCTCTCTAGGAGCTTTGTCAAAGCCCTGATGGCTTGACAAAGCTCCTGGAGAGCAAAATGTTGCCACAGTAAAATGTCACAGTAGTTGTAATTATCTCCTTTTACCTTCCATATTGTTGGTAATTTTACTGGTAATTTTACCAGTAGGTTGGTAGACAGCAACCACCCAGGGAAGTACTACCGTCCTGCCAGATGACTGTGAAACAGAAACCTGTAACTGTTTTTGCATGATGGTAGGATTGCTGGTGTCTTTTTCTGTCTCATAAACACGCTAGATAACAGGGATATCTTGCTACCCCAACTTACACTTTGGTCACACTTCACAGACATGCACATGCATATATATATACATACATCTAGGTTTTTCTCCTTTTTCTACATAGCTCTTTGTTCTTCTTTATTTCTTCTATTGCCCATGGGGAAGTGGAAAAGAATCTTTCCTCCGTAAGCCATGCGTGTCGTATGAGGCGACTAAAATGCCGGGAGCAATGGGCTAGTAACCCCTTCTCCTGTAGACATTTACTAAAAAAGAGAAGAAGAAAAACTTTATAAAACTGGGATGCTTGAATGTGCGCCGATGTAGTGCAGATGACAAGAAACAGATGATTGCTGATGTTATGAATGAAAAGACGTTGGATATCCTGGCCCTAAGCGAAACAAAGCTGAAGGGGGTAGGGGAGTTTCGGTGGGGGGAAATAAATGGGATTAAATCTGGAGTATCTGAGAGAGTTAGAGCAAAGGAAGGGGTAGCAGTAATGTTGAATGATCAGTTATGGAAGGAGAAAAGAGAATATGAATGTGTAAATGCAAGAATTATGTGGATTAAAGTAAAGGTTGGATGCGAGAAGTGGGTCATAATAAGCGTGTATGCACCTGGAGAAGAGAGGAATGCAGAGGAGAGAGAGAGATTTTGGGAGATGTTAAGTGAATGTATAGGAGCATTTGAACCAAGTGAGAGTAATTGTGGTAGGGGACCTGAATGCTAAAGTAGGAGAAACTTTTAGAGAGGGTGTGGTAGGTAAGTTTGGGGTGCCAGGTGTAAATGATAATGGGAGCCCTTTGATTGAACTTTGTATAGAAAGGGGTTTAGTTATAGGTAATACATATTTTAAGAAAAAGAGGATAAATAAGTATACAAGATATGATGTAGGGCGAAATGACAGTAGTTTGTTGGATTATGTATTGGTAGATAAAAGACTGTTGAGTAGACTTCAGGATGTACATGTTCATAGAGGGGCCACAGATATATCAGATCACTTTCTAGTTGTAGCTACACTGAGAGTAAAAGGTAGATGGGATACAAGGAGATTAGAAGCATCAGGGAAGAGAGAGGTGAAGGTTTATAAACTAAAAGAGGAGGCAATTAGGGAAAGATATAAACAGCTATTGGAGGATAGATGGGCTAATGAGAGCATAGGCAATGGGGTCGAAGAGGTATGGGGTAGGTTTAAAAATGTAGTGTTAGAGTGTTCAGCAGAAGTTTTGTGGTTACAGGAAAGTGGGTGGGGAGGGGAAAGAGGAGCGATTGGTGGAATGATGATGTAAAGAGAGTAGTAAGGAGAAAAAGTTAGCATATGAGAAGTTTTTACAAAGTAGAAGTGATGCAAGGAGGGAAGAGTATATGGAGAAAAAGAGAGAGGTTAAGAGAGTGGTGAAGCAATGTAAAAAGAGAGCAAATGAGAGAGTGGGTGAGATGTTATCAACAAATTTTGTTGAAAATAAGAAAAAGTTTTGGAGTGAGATTAACAAGTTAAGGAAGCCTAGAGAACAAATGGATTTGTCAGTTAAAAATAGGAGAGGAGAGTTATTAAATGGAGAGTTAGAGGTACTGGGAAGATGGAGGGAATATTTTGAGGAATTGTTAAATGTTGATGAAGATAGGGAAGCTGTGATTTCGTGTATAGGGCAAGGAGGAATAACATCTTGTAGGAGTGAGGAAGAGCCAGTTGTGAGTGTGGGGGAAGTTCGTGAGGCAGTAGGTAAAATGAAAGGGGGTAAGGCAGCCGGGATTGATGGGATAAAGATAGAAATGTTAAAAGCAGTGGGGATATAGTTTTGGAGTGGTTGGTGCAATTATTTAATAAATGTATGGAAGAGGGTAAGGTACCTAGGGATTGGCAGAGAGTATGCATAGTTCCTTTGTATAAAGGCAAAGGGGACAAAAGAGAGTGCAAAAATTATAGGGGGATAAGTCTGTTGAGTATACCTGGTAAAGTGTATGGTAGAGTTATTATTGAAAGAATTAAAAGTAAGACGGAGAATAGGATAGCAGATGAACAAGGAGGCTTTAGGAAAGGTAGGGTGTGTGTGGACCAGGTGTTTACAGTGAAACATATAAGTGAACAGTATTTAGATAAGGCTAAAGAGGTCTTTGTGGCATTTATGGATTTGGAAAAGGTGTATGACAGGGTGGATAGGGGGGCAATGTGGCAGGTGTATGGTGTAGGAGGTAGGTTACTGAAAGCAGTGAAGAGTTTTTACGAGGATAGTGAGGCTCAAGTTAGAGTACATAGGAAAGAGGGAAATTATTTCCCAGTAAAAGTAGGCCTTAGACAAGGATGTGTGATGTCACCGTGGTTGTTTAATATATTTATAGATGGGGTTGTAAGAGAAGTAAATGCGAGGGTCTTGACAAGAGGCGTGGAGTTAAAAGATAAAGAATCACACATAAAGTGGGAGTTGTCACAGTTGCTCTTTGCTGATGACACTGTGCTCTTGGGAGATTCTGAAGAGAAGTTGCAGAGATTGGTGGATGAATTTGGTAGGGTGTGCAAAAGAAGAAAATTAAAAGTGAATACAGGAAAGAGTAAGGTTATGAGGATAACAAAAATATTAGGTGATGAAAGATTGGATATCAGATTGGAGGGAGAGAGTATGGAGGAGGTGAATGTATTCAGATATTTGGGAGTGGACGTGTCAGCGGATGGGTCTATGAAGGATGAGGTGAATCATAGAATTGATGAGGGGAAAAGGGTGAGTGGTGCACTTAGGAGTCTGTGGAGACAAAGAACTTTGTCCTTGGAGGCAAAGAGGGGAATGTGTGAGAGTATAGTTTTACCAACACTCTTATATGGGTGTGAAGCATGGGTGATGAATGTTGCAGCGAGGAGAAGGCTGGAGGCAGTGGAGATGTCATGTCTGAGGGCAATGTGGGGTGTGAATATAATGCAGAGAATTCATAGTTTGGAAGTTAGGAGGAGGTGCGGGATTACCAAAACTGTTGTCCAGAGGGCTGAGGAAGGGTTGTTGAGGTGGTTCGGACATGTAGAGAGAATGGAGCGAAACAGAATGACTTCAAGAGTGTATCAGTCTGTAGTGGAAGGAAGGCGGTGTAGGGATCGGCCTAGGAAAGGTTGGAGGGAGGGGGTAAAGGAGGTTTTGTGTGCGAGGGGCTTGGACTTCCAGCAGGCGTGCGTGAGCGTGTTTGATAGGAGTGAATGGAGACGAATGGTTTTTAATACTTGACGTGCTGTTGGAGTGTGAGCAAAGTAACATTTATGAAGGGGTTCAGGGAAACCGGCAGGCCGGACTTGAGTCCTGGAGATGGTAAGTACAGTGCCTGCACTCTGAAGGAGGGGTGTTAATGTTGCAGTTTAAAAACTGTAGTGTAAAGCACTCTTCTGGCAAGACAGTGATGGAGTGAATGATGGTGAAAGTTTTTCTTTTTCGGGCCACCCTGCCTTGGTGGGAATCGGCCAGTGTGATAATAAAAAAAAAAAAATATTACAACTCCTATTTTGTATTAGCTTTTGTATCTTTTAATCCCAAACCTGTCCCCAGCACACTTGCATTCACTTTTACAACCCTCTAAATAAATATGTTAAGCAACCATGGTGACATCATGCACCCCTGTCTAAGGCCTATTTTACTGTAAAACAATCCCTCTCTCCTACATACCCTAACCTAAGCTACAATCTTCATAAAAACTCTAATTTCTTTAAGTAATTTTCCACCTATTACATACACTTGCAACATCTGCCACATTAATCCCCTATCCACATTGCTGTATGCCTTTACTAAATCCATAAATGTAACAAAAACTTGCTTACCATTATCTAAACATTGTTTACTTATATGCGTTGGGTTCAGACTGGAAATAGCCTGAAATAGGCATCAAGAGTAGATGAAATATTTGATTTTTGTTGATTTTCCCTAACTTTGGTGAGATGCTAGATCTTGTTATTTAATTGGATGGCCTAAACCATGACCAATAATTCTTGATTATATTTTATGGGGAATCGAGTACAAAACGGGAGTTGACACAGTTACTTTTTGCTGATGATACTGTGCTTATGAGAAATTCCAAAGAAAAGTTGCAAAGGTTAGTAGACGAGTTTGGGAGGGTGTGTTAAGGTAGAAAGTTAAAAGTGAACATAGATAAGAGTAAGCTGATAAGGGTATCAAATGATTTAGATAAAGAAAAATTGGATATTACTTTGGAGAGAGGGAGTATGGAAGAAGTGAATGTTTTCAGATATTTGGGAGTTGTGTCAGCGGATGGGTTTATGAAGGATGAGGTTATTCATAGAATTGATGAAGGAAAAAAGGTGAGTGGTGCATTGAGGTATTTGTGGAGACAAAAAATGTTATCTATGGAGGCAAAGAAGGGAATGTATAAAAGTATAGTAGTACCAACAGTGCTTGGGTTGTAAATGCTGCAGAGACGAGGTGACTGGAGGCATTGGAGATGTCCTGTCTAAGGGCAGTGTGTGGTGTAAATATTATAAAGAGAATTCAGAGTGTGGAAATTAGGAGAAGGTGTGGAGTTAATAAAAGTATTAGTCAGAGGGCTGAAGAGGGGTTGTTGAGGCGGTTTGGTCATTTAGAGAGAATGGATCAAAGTAGAGTGACTTGGAGAGCATATAAATCTGTAGGGGAAGGAAGGCAGGGTAGGGGTCATCCTCAAAAAGGTTGGAGGGAGGGAGGTAAAGGAGGTTTTGTGGGCGAGGGGCTTGGACTTCCAGCAAGCGTGCATGAACATGTTAGATAGGAGTGAATGGAGATGAATGGTTTTTGGAACCTGACGAGCTGTTGGAGTGTGAGCAGGGTAATATTTAGTGAAGGGATTTAGGGAAACCGGTGATTTTAATATACTATATAGCTGGACTTGAGTACTGGAAATGAGAAGTACAATGCCTGCACTTTAATTAAAGGAGGGGTTTGGGATATTGGCAGTTTGGAGGGATATGTTACATATCTTTATATATGCTTCTGAACTGTTGTTTCTGGGCGCCTGTGCAAAGACAGTGATTATGTATGAGTGAGGTGAAAGTGTTGAATGATGTTGAAAGTATTTTCTTTTTGGGGATTTTCTTTCTTTTTGGGTCACCCTGCTTCTGTGGGAGACGGCCGACTTGTTGAAAATTTTTATTTTTTTTTATTTTTTTATCATCACACTGGCCGATTCCCACAAAGGCAGGGTGGCCCGAAAAAGAAAAACTTTCACCATCATTCACTCCATCACTGTCTTGCCAGAAGGGTGCTTTACACTACAGTTTTTAAACTGCAACATTAACACCCCTCCTTCAGAGTGCAGGCACTGTACTTCCCATCTCCAGGACTCAAGTCCGGCCTGCCGGTTTCCCTGAACCCCTTCATAAATGTTACTTTGCTCACACTCCAACAGCACGTCAAGTATTAAAAACCATTTGTCTCCATTCACTCCTATCAAACACGCTCACGCATGCCTGCTGGAAGTCCAAGCCCCTCGCACACAAAACCTCCTTTACCCCTCCCTCCAACCTTTCCTAGGCTGACCCCTACCCCGCCTTCCTTCCACTACAGACTGATACACTCTTGAAGTCACTCTGTTTCGCTCCATTCTCTCTACATGTCCGAACCACCTCAACAACCCTTCCTCAGCCCTCTGGACAACAGTTTTGGTAATCCCGCACCTCCTCCTAACTTCCAAACTACGAATTCTCTGCATTATATTCACACCACACATTGCCTCAGACATGACATCTCCACTGCCTCCAGCCTTCTCCTCGCTGCAACATTCATCACCCATGCTTCACACCCATATAAGAGCGTTGGTAAAACTATTAGTAGAGAAATGAGGTAAAACTTCAGTTTTTTGTGATGAATTCAAAATGGAGGGCAAGTGTTACATAGGAGAGGCCTATAAAGATATGCCATACTTTTTAACATTAGCCATCACCTACCTAGGTAGGGTGACCCAAATAGGGAAACATATTCACCCTCATTTATTCTTGCTAGAAGTGTGCTGAAATTGCAATTGACATAAACTGCAACATCTCCTCTCTTGCATATTGCAGGCACTACCTCCCACCTCTTGGGCTCAAATCTAGGTAGTCGTTTACATAAATTTGAAGTACAGTAGATCATCAGTTATATTGTGATTGGTTATTTGGCATCCAACACTATTTGGCAGTTTTGTTCAGTCTGGCACCAAAACAAATAATGCTACAGAGAAATGTACAGGAACAGATGACCATGTAAAGATAATGTGATCATTCATGCAGTTGATAATCTGGATGCACCTTTTTCCTTAGGGGGGTTAGGTAATGGTTGTTCTGGTGTATTACACAACAGTTACTAATTCTTGTGAGAACCCACTAGCGACATCTTCCTAAAAGGAATTTTTCTTCTTATAACTTTGTCTTTTTCTTTCAAATAAAAATTCATCCTTTGTAATAGTGTCCCATTTCTATATTTTTCAGTTATTTGATGAGCCTTTTGTGTGCAAATATATGTACTATACATTAAAAATGTTTTATGGAGATCCATACCCCTCAGTTCTGGGACTAGGTTGGTTGATTTTTTTTTCTTTTGCCTTTCAGAGTGTGTTATTACTAATTTGTAGTTATAGTGTTCTGTGTTCATTGTTTAATGTATTATAAAAAATTAACTCGCTCTACTGCATACTGTACAAGTGTTTGCTTTCACACTCGTTAAATAGCACTATTTAATACTTTAACATTTCCTCAGGCATTCGGAGTTGGTGATGGAACTTGGAGCAATGGGGGTGACCACATGCAAACTTTCCTTGGAGGCTATGGAGGACAAATGGGATATGATTCACACAGTGCAATTGATGGCATGTTTGGTAGTGGCAGCTTCAGTGGATTCAACCCTCCTGGCTTTAACTATGGTTTCCACGGAAATGGTGACTACAGTGCATGGGGAGGTTCAGATGTTCGGGGAGGAAATAAGCCATATGACGACTACTATCAGCGAGATAATTTATACACTGATGAACGTGTGAAGGCCCTGGAACAGGGTGTACAAGGACTTACTATAGCTGATCCTAAAACTGGTCAAGACTTACCTAGAGATGGCAGTTCAGGAATTGGTAAAAGTGCAGCAACAAATGGAGGTAGTGTGGTTGAAGTTAAGTCAAATGGAGGCAGTAGCCCAGGAGGAGAAACATCGGTTGGTCTGGGTCAAACTAAAAAAGGTATGTCATGGGCTAGCATTGCCTCTCAGCCGGCTAAGCCTCAGCCAAAAGGAAGACGCGATAAAACTGCTATGTCTTCTATTGTACCTGGTCGCCACATGGACATTGGAACATGGGAAGGCAAAAATGGTGGTGGACCAAAGCCTGTTGCTCCTCCCCCAGTTCCACGGCCAGCCTGGGAGGCTCCACGCGGTGGATCACGCTCCACTACCTCCACCTCATACTCTACTCCGCCGCCACGAACCCCACCCCAGGTGCCTCCCCCGCAGCAAGTGCAGCAGTCAGGACAACAGCAGCAGCCAACAGGACAACAGCAAGAGCAACAACCACTGCAGACCTTACAGACTTCTCCTCAGCAGCATCAGCAGAACCAACACCAACAGCATGTTCATCAACAACACCTGCATCAGCAACAACAACAGCAGCAGCAACAACAACAGCAGCAACAACAGCAACAGCAGCAGCAACAGCAACATCATCAACATCAGCAGCAGCAACACCAACACCAACATCAGCATCAGCAACTCCAGCAGCAGTTACCACCATCACCCCAACAGCAGCAGCAGCAAGCTCCTCCCCCACCATTACTGCCAAGTGGGGTCATTCATACACAGATGGAACTGCCCCCTTCCCCTCAGAGTGGACCCCCAATGTCAATACCTCAACGTGCCCCTTTGCCTCATGTCCCTGGGCAGATTCCTGCAGAACTGCAACCAGATGATCCTATTCTTGAAGGTCTTCGTATGCGTAACGATTACAACCCAAAGGACTTTGATCTTAATCCTAAAAATGCACGTTTCTTTGTGATTAAATCTTATTCAGAGGATGATATTCACCGGTCTATCAAGTATGAGATATGGTGCTCCACAGAACATGGTAACAAGCGTCTAGACGCTGCCTTTCATGAGAGGGAGGGTAAAGGACCTGTATACCTTTTCTTCTCAGTGAATGGGTCTGGGCATTTTTGTGGTTTAGCTCAGATGATTTCCATGGTGGACTATAATTCATCATCATCTGTATGGGCTCAGGATAAATGGAAAGGACAGTTTCGTGTGAAATGGGTTTATGTGAAGGACGTTCCCAACAATCAGCTGCGCCACATTAGGTTGGAGAACAATGAGAACAAACCTGTGACCAATTCCCGGGACACTCAGGAAGTTCCGTATGAGAAAGGCAAACAGGTTAGTAAATAAATAAACTTTTGCATTGCATTTACAGTATAGCAAATTACGTATAGGATAGAGTTTATTATAGCATATTGTGCAGTATAGAATTTATTGCATTTATTAGTGTTGTATATATTGTATATATACAGTAAATATACTAGGGGTGTGCCAGAGTATCGGTACCGGTGAGTATCGGCTATTTTTTTATGGTATTGGTATCAGCGAATAAGTGGCTGATACCTGCTGATATTTTTCAGCTGTTAAAATTACATGTGCTTAAAAATAGTAAATTTAATACTACCTCATGATTGTAAGGTTTACTCACATGCATGAACATGGTACATGTGCAACAGTTAGGTTGATTTATTTTCAAAAAGTTTCACATGCTGTATAAGTGGAGCCCTCTGGAGGGCCCCACTTATACAGCAGGTTAGGTTCAGAGCTACTGCTGTACAGCAAAAATCGCTCTAAAGCAAATCTTAGCCTTTTTTCACTTTCAAATGCATATAAAATCCTGATAACATGTTTACCCTAGCACATATTAAGTGAACAATATGAGTTAGGCCTAAATAATGCATACACAGTACACATGTTACTTTTTTTTTTTAACACATCGGCCATCTCTCACTGAGGCAGGGTGACCCAAAAATGAAAGAAACACATTCGCCATAATACAATGCTCTCACCATCGCTTACGCACAATCACTGTCTTTGCAGAGGTGTTCATATATTTACCTTAAAATATTTTCATCCTTAGCTTATAGTGAGTGGTGAATATATTTATTGTAGGAAGTCTGAATAAATGAAGAATGGGCATAATTGACAACCACCGTACAGCCTCTCCTCACTTAACGATGGAGTTCCCTTCCTAATACCATGTCGGTAAATGAATTCTGTCATTAAACGAAGAGCATACTATAATGGTATTGGGTTTATGTAAACCATCTTTGATATTGCTTTGTCATCCTTATACCCTTTATAACATTTTTAGTATATTTTTAAATGTTTATACAGCGTTGTACTGCATATTGTAATAAACAGAGTAGAGGAAATCAGCTGTAATATACATTATTTAGGTATGCACACTGGTCAGAGAGCCTGTTGCAAGTCCCAGTCAGTCGGTAAACGAGTACGTCGCTAAGTGAGGAGAGGCTGTATTAATGAAACACTGGAAAGCGAAGAACTGTAAAGTGGGCCTGCATGTACTATACATACTGTATAAGTAAATATTACAGGTTCTTTAATGACATTAGACTTTAACACCTATAAATAAAGAAGAAGCCACTGCTCAAGGTGTTTCATATTGAGTGCATCTATTGTTTTATCACTTTCATCATTATTGTCCAATTTATCACTTTCTGGATTAGGAAATAACTTGTCTAAAAGACCTGGAAAATAATGCAGGAAACAGTAAGACTTTCAGTGACATCCAGCTTTTCATAGTACTGTACTTTCCAATCTAAGTACCATCATGAGGGACTTTTACTACCTCTTGATGGTTTGAGGGTCATTACCATCACAGCCCAGTCCTTGACAAGGCTTCGTTGTTGCTGGCTTAGTTAGTTAGGTTATTTGTGATAGTGATGCAGAGTCCAACACAACCACCATAGCACAGGTCATCAAGAATTGTCTTTGTAGATAAATTAAACACATGTGCAACACTTGGATATCTTTATTAAGGAAATGTTTTGCCACACAGTGGCTTCATCAAAGAAGAATGGTGAAGATCAGAAAGAGTTTGAGGTAATCAGTCCCTCATCTTGGAGTCGATGTAATCAGTCTTGAAAAGAATACAGCATATGTACGAAGAAGTGGCTTGTATACTGTAGACAGGTGAGGTGAAGCAATCATAGGCAACATCATAGTGGACAAATCCACATGTGAAAGTAGGTCATGCCTATAGGTTAGGCAAGTGAAGAATTCTGTGTATAAAGATCCCAAGATATTTCTGTGTCTGACAGGAATGTAGTTAAATGATTCAGAGAACTGACACGATAAATTAGACACACATGCAACACTTGGGTATTTTTATTGAGAAAATGTTTTACCATACAGTGGCTTCATCATCATTTGTCAAGCTCCCTCTTGAAGATAGGTATCTGTTGGTAAGTCCCCTTATTTGTGAGGGGAACATGTTGAGAAGTCTTGGATTCTTTACATTGATCATCTCTTAGTGTACCACACTAGTAAAATATCCAGGTAGAAGTGATACTAGTTTTATATGCTCATATAATAAAATCCATTAGACAAAGGATTATTTCCTAGCTTAATATGTAGAATATATCCAAATACTGTTCTTTAAGTTTTGTCCTTTATTTTCTATTACTTCACAGTACTGTATTTAAAAAATGGTCTGTCATTTTTCATCTTAAATTTATAATTTCATTATTGAGCCTGTATTTAGGAAGAATGAAATGCTAGGGAAGGATTTGTTGTACATTTGACTACCTGTATTGTAGGATTTATTGCGGTGTTGGTTACCTATACTATATGATTTATTTAACCATTGACTATTTATAATATAGGATTTATTGCACTGTTGACCAATTATATTGTAGGATTCATTGCACTATTGCCTGCAAATGGTGTAAGATTTAGACCTTGACCAGGATAGTGATTGGAAGAATAAATAAAACATTTAAAACTGGTCACTGATAACCAAGGTGGATATTGTGGTGGGAAATGCTTGGGAGAAGGACTGTGATGTACATAGATTTTTACATCTGGAGAAAGTGTGACAAAGTGAGTAGAGAGTGACCTGGGCAGTGTTACTTAAACAGTATAATTAAATTATCTTCTGAAGATACATAGCAGTGGGTACCTCAAGAATAATAAACAACTTTCCTAGTGTTTCAGGTTATGATAGTATAAGGGTACCGTATTTTGCAGCATACAGGACACGCCCTAAATTTACTGATTGTTCCTTGTTTGATTATATTTTTTTAAATATTCTCTTTGTTTATTGTAATTATTCATAGATCACAAGCTTGTCCCAAACCTGACCTTTATTGTGTAGGATGCAGGGTGAATTTGAGGGTCAGATTTTAAAAAAAAGTGTGTCTTACATGTCGCAAAATACAGTAATTATGTGTCATTCATCTTTGTAATTGCAGTAAGGATTCGTAAAGTAACTGTTTTCTTAATGTCTTTTGGAATTTATTTTTTGTGAAGATGATCATATCTTGGATGTTTGTAAGGCTGGGGCCTCTGTTTAGGTACAGTAGGGCCCCACTTATATGGCAGGTTAGGCTCCAGGCTACTGCCGGAAAGCGGACATCGCCGGAAAACAGAACGCCATTTGTTTCCACTTATAAATGTCAGATAATAAGTTTACACTAACATATATCATGTTAGCAATAGAACAAGACATTAAGAAACAATAAAAAGTAAAATACACACACAGTACACTCATTACTCACCTCAAAATATTTGTAGTACTCTTAATGTAGGGTGAGAAGTGAGTAGTGTTTATTGTAAGAAGTCAGGTGTGGTAGGTATGGTAGGCAGCCAGGCAGCCCCACCCCACCGACATGTAATATACTTCATCCTAGAGCGATAAAATGTATATAGTGTACACTCATTACTTACCTTAAAGTATTTGTAGTCTTAATGGTCCTAATATAGAGTGCAAGGTGAATAGTAGGGTAGGTAGGTATCGAATAGTGTGGTGGTATCATAACCCCATTTGGCCATCCCACTCACACATTATATACTAGGCACTTAAAGTGCTCTAGAGTGACAAAATGCATATACAGTACACTCATTACTTTTTTTTATTATTATTTATTAACACACTGGCCAATTCCCACCAAGGCAGGGTGGCCCGAAAAAGAAAAACTTTCACCATCATTCACTCCATCACTGTCTTGCCAGAAGGGTGCTTTACACTACAGTTTTTAAACTGCAACATTAACACCCCTTCTTCAGAGTGCAGGCACTGTACTTCCCATCTCCAGGACTCAAGTCCGGCCTGCCGGTTTCCCTGAATCCCTTCATAAATGTTACTTTGCTCACACTCCAACAGCACGTCAAGTATTAAAAATCATTTGTCTCCATTCACTCCTAACAAACACGCTCATGCATGCCCACTGGAAGTCCAAGCCCCTCGCACACAAAACCTCCTTTACCCCCTCCCTCCAACCTTTCCTAGGCCGACCCCTACCCCGCCTTTCTTCCACTACAGACTAATACACTCTTGAAGTCATTCTGTTTCGCTCCATTCTCTCTACATGTCCGAACCACCTCAACAACCCTTCCTCAGCCCTCTGGACAACAGTTTTGGTAATCCCGCACCTCCTCCTAACTTCCAAACTACAAATTCTCTGCATTATATTCACACCACACATTGCCCTTAGACATGACATCTCCACTGTCTCCAGCCTTCTCCTCGCTGCAACATTCATCACCCATGCTTCACACCCATATAAGAGCGTTGGTAAAACTATACTCTCATACATTCCCCTCTTTGCCTCCAAGGACAAAATTCTTTGTCAACACAGATTCCTAAGTGCACCACTCACCCTTTTCCCCTCATAAATTCTGTGATTCGCCTTATCTTTCATAGACCCATCCGCTGACACGTCCACTCCCAAATATCTGAATACATTCACCTCCTCCATACTCTCTCTCTCCAATCTTTCATCACCTAATCTTTTTGTTATCCTCATAATCTTACTCTTTCCTGTATTCACTTTTAATTTTCTTCTTTTGCATACCCTACCAAATTCATCCACCAACCTCTGCAACTTCTCTTCAGAATCTCCCAAGAGCACAGTGTCATCAGCAAAGAGCAACTGTGACAACTCCCACTTTGTGTGTGATTCTTTATCTTTTAACTCCACGCCTCTTGCCAAGACCCTCGCATTTACTTTTCTTACAACCCCATCCATAAATATATTAAACAACCACGGTGACATCACACATCCTTGTCTAAGGCCTACTTTTACTGGGAAATAATCTCCCTCTTTCCTACATCTCTAACTTGAGCCTCACTATCCTCGTAAAAACTCTTCACT